GGTTTCAAATGTTGACTTTTTGTACTTCAAGGGACAAAATTTGTGATTAGTTTACATCAAGCACTTACTGAATTGATGTTCTCCCATGTGCATTTGTTTCTTATGATTTTCTCTATGGCAAGAATCATTGTCTTTCCTGCATCCTTCATACATAACTTTGCTGATGATAGTGTTATTGGCCTGTCTTCTTAGAGCAAGATGCCAAGGATATTATTACAGTAATGGAGGCTGTGACTTCTGGGAAGTGTCCACCAAGAATCTTAATCCACAATAACTGGCCATCATTGTCTAAAATACGTTGCTGTTTGGGATTGAAAGGGTGAACAAATTATTTTTAAAGCAGTTAACATAGCATAATTATATATATTTTTCAAATACAGAAAGCAAACACACAAACCAACTAGCAGCTGATTGTTGTAAATGGCTCTTAACTGTTATACTGACTAATTTCTGGAACTGAAAGGAGCGTAGAAATAGATCAGAAGAAGCAAGAAGTTGCTTATGTTCATACATTGTAATGGACTGAACTAATTCTTGCAGTGTGAGAAAGGGTCCGTGACCTTTTATTCTACCATCTCTCACTATTTGTATCTGAATGTCCACCAACCAAGTTGGTGGTATTTTCAAATTGTAACATATATCAACATGAATATATGTAACTGTTCAGTTAATTGCAAGAAATTTTCACTGATAGTTATTCTTTTTGCAAATTTTTCCAGTATGCCTGAATCTGCTGTCTTTGAGGCAATTAGCCTGAAACCTGCTCCTCATCCTGCCTTCCTCAGCCCTCTTGACCTATATGTTTGTGATTAATGACTGATTATGAGACTTAACTCCAACATGCCTCTTTTTGCTGATGATACAAAAATAATGAAGACAATCCTAACTAAAAAGTATGAAAATTGACTGATCCTTCAGTTATATTTTTCAAGTTATGAGAAAACTAGTTCAATTAAAACAGGTATCTTATCATTATTTAACCTCTTAATAAAAGAATCTTGATAGTTGATATTGCAATAACCTGCTTAGTTGTTAGCAGTCTTCCACATCTCTATATATCATTTATAAGTAAACAAAATTTCTTTTATTAGACTAAAGTTTTCCCTTAAACAGTGACCAAAACAAATCTGGTTTGTTTTTTATTAGTTAATAATGTGTGAATATCTTCCTCTAGATGTTTCTGGGGGTCATTATGCCTGTGACCTGTTCTCAAACTAAATCATCTAGTTGATGGCTTGGTCATGCAGGCTGGCATTACTAACTGCCTGGCTGTTCAGAAGGTTTTTGGAGGAACTTGTCCAATTCTCTTAGTCTTTCTTGCTCCCCAGCTTGTATTTGAGGTATCTCCTGCTCCCATAAGGGAATGTTTTAGTGGGCAGATTTAGAATCAGTCTTTCTTTTATTTTCTAGGAGTAAATTACGATATTTTTTCTTCAGCTCTTAGGAGAATAATTTAAGGAATTTTAGGCATTCCCAAGGATGTTGTAGTGCTATGGTTTATATCTTTGCTAATATTCAATATGAGAATAAAAGATGTGGGGGTTACTGTTCCTTGAGGAACAGTTTTTTTTTTTTCTGTGGAAGCCTTTGATTTTGTTTTCTTAACTATTGCTCCTTGGGTCTGAGTAATTACAGTTTTGCACAATAAGAACTTTTAGTGATGCAGCTAGGCATTGATAGATATGCATTAGGATAATTTTTTCTCTAGCAGTGAATGAGCTTGCAATTTTTTTTTAATAGTTTAAGTATAATAGTGAAACATGTAGCAGCCACACATACCGTATTTCGTGGCTTATTAGATGCATTTTTTCTCCCCTAAAATGTCTCCAAAAACCACCCTGCATCCTCTAAACTGAAGGTAAGTGACAGGATGTGGGGTGGGCTGTAGATCTCCCAGTCACGTCCGATGCCGAGCCATTGAAACTAAAACAAGTCTTATAAGCCGCAAAATACGGTACCTCAGTAATGGCATGACTTTGTTTTAGTTGTTGGCCATTTTTTTAATTACTTGGCACTATTTCCAACCTTCCCACAATTTTCTGGGGTTTCCTTCACTTTTTTTTGAAGGGATCTCCTAGATTAAACTTACTTTAAAGTTTAATCTAGCATTGATGACAAGCTTTTCAGTAGTTTGAAATGCTTGTTTCACTTTTTGATATGTTGTGTCTGACGACTAAAACATCCTCTTATCATGAGGGCTTAGGATACCCTTTTCATTGTACAAAATACATACATGCATACATACAGTGCATATATACTGTAGATACATTCATATATACATTTTTTTGTGAATATTTGTGTAAAAACTTGAGTAATTTAAACTAAATTGCTCAAGCTTTTCCTAACCAGCTGTGTCTAATATACATATTTTCCACATTTTATTATTATGTAGGTGTGGAGAAATATTATACAGTGTTAGCAATAATTTTTATAATATAACATGTTTACTAATCAGCATATACCTGACAAAAATTTTTGCTTTCAGCTATACAGTGCTTACCAGACGTTACTAAATGGTCTCGACACACTTGTCAGAAATGTTCATGCCTCAGCTGAACTGTTCCCAGTAGGAAGAGAAAGCTATTTTGTGCATATTTGCAGCATGAATGGGAAGGTCATTCTGAAGGAATTATCACTCTTCATAATTGGGAGAAAGCAGTTAACCTTATTAACAAGTACAGTATATTAAAACTGGATTATTCAGATGGTGAATACAGGTTATTCTGTTGTATTATGAATTATATGGTAGCTGCTTTCATACCCAATAAACTGTTAGACTATGACTATGGGGTTGAACTGTAATCATAAAGAGGGAAATTGCACTATTATCATGTAATTGATAAAAAATTTTTTTAACACACTGACCATCTCCCACTGAGGCAAGGTATAGCTAAATGTTATAATTAAATTGCAAAAAATACTGAGCAGACCACTAAAATATATCCTACCCTATTGTGGGGTTTGACCACACTCCTAACTGAATACAGTTGTTTGACTACACCAGTGTTTATTTGGCTACCCTAGATAATGTGTCAAAAACCATGTACTGTATGCTTAACACAGACAAGATCCTGGCAGTAGAGACCAATTTCTGTCTATAGCACTCTAATGGCCTCTACAGCTGTTCTTGATGAAGTGCCAGGTAGGTATTTTATGGGCTGAGGGGAAGACAAAACCATTGACATAAGTAATATACAGGAGTACCTCCTCCCAGTTTTTTTTTGCCAAGCCCATTGCTTCAAGAAAGATGTTTTTGTGACGAACAGATCCCCAGCTCTCAAGTCAGGGTTCAGTAATGTTACCTTATTTGCTACTTAAATTTAGTTTCCAGAGTGATCTATCTAATATTAATTTTTTTAGCACACTGGTTGTCTCCTACCAAGGTAGGGTATCGAAAAAAGAAGGAACAGTTTTACCATCTTTCACTCTATCACTGTCTTGCCAGGGTGAGCTGATACCACAGTTTGGATGCTCTCCAAACTGCAAATATCCCCACTCTTCCTTCAGAGTGCAGGCACTGCACTTCCAACCTCCAGGAATCAAGTCCAGCTAACTGGTTTCTCTGAATCCCTTCACAAAATGTTAATATCCTAAATTATTCTAGTATTATTTAATGATGATTAAATCCCTCCCTAAGTTAATACTAATGCCTAAATCAGCTTAAAAATATTAGTGTTTATGTTGTTCAAGAGAGTTCACTGGGCTATTATGACATCCCTAACAGTGTTATATGGGTATTCAAATCAAAACAGTATACTAACTACATGCTATTATTGCTAGTCTCTCATTGGGGATTTCCACTATATATTCCTGCTTGTCTCATGCCTGTCACTTACCAGAAGGAACTACAATTCTTAATTTTGCTATCATGAGAAGACATAAGGATGCTTGATGTATATTATTGATGAATAAATCAGTTTCTAGTGTTAAAAGTTTGAGTGTCATAGGTGTAAACAGACCAGGTTAGAGCCTGGCTGGGCAAGGAAAAGTATGGACTGTGATGGTTTCTTCCTAGAGCCAGCAGCTGAAAAACAAAATAAGTGTGTGAGTGCTTGTTTCCTGCATTTCCTCATATCCCGCTGATCTAAAATATCAGACTTCAGCCAAAACAAACTGACATCATTTCTGAGTACCACACTGAGATTTCTCATTTAGTGAGAAATCTGATTTGAGATTCTGGTGCACTCTACTAAACTTTTTTCAGTTAAAAGTTGTTTGAAAGTTATTTCTTCAACGTTTTCTTTTAGTCTTCATACTTTGAAAACTTATGTCAAATGCTCAAAAGTCGTCTTAAAAATATTTGCTGCAGAGATCTTTAGCTTTATTTAACACTTAGAGTACATCAACTGAAACAGACATCTTACATGAATGAGAACTGTAATTCCCTCATTATGGTAAATGTTAGCTCTTGATTAAAGGTCAGTGGTATTTTTACATCCTGTAGTTAAGAGCTTTGGGGAAGGATTTCTGATAGTGGCCACACTGTATGTTGCTGATTTATTAGGAGGTATAAATACTTTCTTACCATTGGATTTATACTTTCATTAATGTTAAAACGTAAATATAATTTGTGGAAATAATGACTTACAAATATTTGTACCTCTCAAAAGTAATGTCAGCATGAATTCTGTTGCTAGGATTTGTAAATTGGTGGTGGTGTGTTGCCAAACTAACCCAAGCTGCATATAAAAGTAGCTGTGACACTCTTCTTTAGTTTTCCCCTTATAATTTTGTTGGCATCTTGAGTTTGTGAAAAACAGGTGAAGGGAGACTGCAGAATTATAAATGGAGTGATTTATTCTTTTATGTATGCTTACCCAGTTGCTCATTCATTTGTATATCCAGAAATTTTTTTTATCACATGGTTCAGTATAATGATGATAAGAGTGTAGTGGTACTTGTCTGGAAGCAGATGGCATGGAACCAGGGTAGAGTTCATGTATTTAAGGGTAGTGGTGGTACCACCTTACACTAATGGTGGTGGTTGGTGATGGTTGCAGGTTCACAGTACCAGTAAGAAGCTTCTCTACCAGTTGGATCATCTGGTACAAATATGTAGCCAGCTGCGACGTGATGGCCAGATGCGCAGCAAGCACGTAAGCAGAGGGGCTCTTATCCTGCATGGGGAGGGGCTTAGGCATGGTAGCCATAAAATTTCATGAATAATTTTGTCTGGTAAAGACACTATTAAATAATGCCTTCTTATGAGTGTGAAAAGGGGATTTTTCCTTACTTAAAATTATCATCAGAATATATTTTAAATTTAGCTTTAACCATTTAGGTTGTAATGTATGAAAGTTACATTTAAGAATTGTTAAAAGCAATGTACTGATTTTAATTACGTCACAGTATTATTAACTATAAAGATCTGAATCCTGGATTTGCCTTATTCTTCAGCAGTGACTCCTAATGTGTCCCAGTCCATCGCATAAGATTGTAGCTTTTAATGTGTTATGCAGACTTTATTGGTGTTGTTGATTCTCTAAGCATATCTGTGTTCCTTCCCCTACAGATTTGTAGGGATGACTTTATGCTTAGGTGTTTCAAAAAAAAAAAAAAATGACTGGGAGGCGAGTTTATACCACCACTCTCTTCCTTATAACATATAAACCTTACTGTCAAGTTGTCAGTAATATACGTGCAAGTGTGTGAGTCTCACCAGCCAGGTGAGTCATTGGTGATACAGAAGAAAGGGAATTAGACTCCTGAAATCGTAATGACACGATTTCAGACAAACCATACCATGGGTGGGGTTTGAACCCGCAGTCAGAGAGTCTCAAAACTCCAGACCATTGCGTTAGCCACTGGGCCAGCTAGCTTCAATAAGATTCATCCAACTAGGTATATTTCTACACCATAGAAAGGTTAACATAGGCATCACTGTGACCACAAATGCAAGTTTTTACAGACGAATCTCTTGCTAGCATGGCCGTGATAAACTCTAGCTCAAGTCCCCTCAAAGCCATCAACATGACTCATGAAATCGTAATGACACAGTTGCAAACAAACCATACCACGGGTGGGGTTTGAACCCATGGTCAGAGAGTCTCAAAACTCCAGACCATCGCACTAGCCACTGGGCCAGATAGCTTCAATAAGATTCATCCAACTAGGTATATTTCTACACCATAGGAAGGTTAGCACAGGCACCACTGTGACCACAAATGTAATTTTTTACAGACAAATCTCCTGCTAGCATGGCTGTGATGAACTCTAGCTCAAGTCCTTTCAAAGCCATCAGTATGACTCATGAAATCGTAATGACGCGATTGCAAACAAACCATACCATGGGTGGGGTTGGAACCCGCAGTCAGAGAGTCTCAAAACTCCAGACCATCGTGTTAGCCACTGGACCAGCTAACTTCAATAAAATTCATCCAACTAGGTATATTTCTACACCATAGGAAGGTTAGCATAATCACCACTGTGACCACTGTGTTTGCAATCGTGTCATTACGATTTCGTGAGCCATGTTGACGGCTTTGAGAGGACTTGAGCTAGAGTTCATCATGGCCATGCTAGCGGGAGATTCGTCTGTAAAAACGTGCATTTTTGGTCACAGTGGTGTCTATGCTATAGTGTAGAAATATACCTAGTTGGATGAATTTTATTGAAGCTATCTGGCCCAGTGGCTAACGCGATGGTCTGGAGTTTTGAGACTCTCTGACCGCGGGTTCAAACCCCACCCGTGGTATGGTTTAAAGGGAATTAGACGTGTGTGACACTTGGGTATACTGAATGCATTTTGCTTATCAGTGGCTTTTTCAATTCTGTATAGAGATTATATATAGAAGACAGTGAAAGATGAGGTAATCAGTCCTTCAACTTCGAAGGTGATGTTCAGTATTGTAATCTTGATGACTGAAGCATAGGCAAAAAGATGGACTCTTATATATTGGAGTCAGTTGAGGTGCAGCCATTGAAGGTTTTACCACAGGTGGGCAGGATTCTTTTAGTTAAAGTCTGACACAGAGTCCATCTTCCTGCCTGTAAGCCAGACTAATCAAAACTAATGTTCTGAATACAGTGGAACCTCTGGTCATGACCATGATTCATTTCAAAACTCTGGTCGCGACCCGATTTGGTCATGACCCGAACCTAATTTCCCCATTGGATTATGTGTAAATGCGATTAATCCGTCCCAGACCCCTACAAACTGTATGTAAATATTGTTTTTATAAGATTTTTAAGCACAAAAACAGTTAATTATACCATAGAATGCACAGTGTAATAGTATAAGGGTGAAAACCTTGAATAACACTGAAAAAAGCTTGAACAACAGAGAAAACTAACATTGCATGAGTCCGTTCTAGACCCCCATGAACCTTTTGCTGTAAATAGTTTTTCTTTTAAAGGACGTCTCATGACTGAGAAGTGAACTCCATTATTTATCCTCAGATTTCTTCCATTTTTGGTGTACGTTAAGAAGAATCTTTTCATCATACATTGCCCAAGTTTTAATAAGATAACCCAACAAACAACTGAGAAAAAAAATTATTTACCAAAAATCATATATGGCAAACCCTAGCCAGTTACTGGCACTGCGAGAAGCAGTTTGTGCATAACCTGCTGATAAAACACTGTTAATCCAAATTTATCACAAGGGTCTTTGTTAGGTGTACACAAACAACAGGAAGTGGGGAAAATTGGTGTGTGCGAAAAAAATGGAGCGGAATGTGAAAATTGGCGCGGCTGTGTTTGTTTGGCACCTGATTATACATTCATGACCAAATGCAAAAATTTGGCAGATTTTTTGGTCATGAACTGATTTGTTTGTGTTCGGAAGCAGTCATGACCAGAGGTTCCACTGTACTGACTTTTAGGCTAAGAGGATAAATACTTCATCTTCCACTCTCTTCTGTGTATAATCTCAGTATTGAATTGAAAAATCCACTGGTTGGTGAAACATCTTAAGAATAAGTGAATGTTATTGAATTGTGTTTTATTATTTCATAGGCTACCTAGCTAGCCATCTCTGATAAAAGATCAAGGGTTGGGACCCCAATGGAAATAAGTCACTTTATTTGACTTTCTTGGGTTATCCTAGGTAATCAACACATATGCTGATGTGTATGACAATTTATGTAACTGTATTTATGTATACCTATACCTGAATAAACTTACTGAGATGACCCATTTAGAAAAAATACTGCTGTGTGTAATTACTACTTAATTAACATTGCGTATGACTCCTTATTTCACTGAAGTGCTGTGAAAAACTCATAAGAGAAAATGTGATAACTTTTAGGCCAGATAAGAGTACCACTGTCATTTGCTGAGAATTGGAATTTCTTTTTCTGAAAATTTCAGTGGGCATTTTCTAATAAATGTTTAGCAGTTATTTCTTGTTATTTTTCATCTTAAGAGGAGCATTCATCACCTCAGTTGTTTATTTAGAATACTGTACTTATCAATTTCATTAAAAATTTCCAAAATGTATTAGTGCTAATTGGCTTAACTTTAGCATAAAATATAATTCTGAGCAGAATGATAGTTTTTTTATTATTCAAGAAAATTCTAAACAATTATCAATCTTCATAACCTAAGTATGTTTCTGCACGACATAACACACGTACAAACTTATTCCTAATAGGTTCATGGTGCTGTATTCGTCATATTCCAATAGCAACAAGAAAAATTTAACTAACAATATAATGATATATAGTATCATGTAAGTATGAATGTTATTGCTTGTGGCCTTTGTTGTTATTATTTAGGGCTTTAAGGGCCACAGACAGCTTTTGCAGTATTGAGCCCTTCTTCTTGATGTCTGGGAAAGAAGCATTACCCAAAGGTATGTGATGAAAGGGAATAGGAGTCCCATTTGTAAATAGAAATGGGAGCAAGAAGTTTCCAGTTGTATCAGGTGGATCCCCTTGCCCAGGACCCATCGGAGTGGGACACCTACATCCCTACCTGAACCAGTAACCAGTTTCTCACCAAAACCATGAAAAATCCACCAGGGAACAATAAAATTGAGGAATGGTTCCCTGATCTTTAATGTGCTTAACAGCCAGAATAAGAAAAATGCCAAGAGAGAATGGGAGAAATTTGTCATCGATGTTCAGACACAAGCAAGATGCCTGCACACCACCATGGCTGGTGCAGAAGACCACTTGTGGCTGTGCTTTTTAAACTCAGTTCCTTAGATCAAGAACCCTTCGCCAGCATCTCGGCTCACCCATTGAGGCATCACTTATCGAAGAATGTATGGATTTTGTAAATGATCATTTACTTTATTTTATGTTGGTAGAAGTGTTTGACAAATAAAAAACCCTAATCACATAATGTTTTTAAGAAAATCATGGTGAATGCCCCCTTTCAAAGAATTGTGGGGGTCTCGAAATACAGTGTTACATTTTGGCTCCCCTCACTGTATGTGGTTTCACTGTATGTGAATTTACAATTATGTGAAGTTCCACTTCTATCAGTAATTCGTATGTATGACATATGTTAGTTGTATGTGATCAGTGTGGTTCACCAATAGTGCCGATGATTCTTATTATGCAGAATTAAGTGTTGTTTACCTGATTGAGCTTGGGACTCTCTCGTGGGTCTGGAATACGTGTACTGCATAAAGCGATAGTATCTCATTGTAGGTTTCTGATGCATTCAGTTTGCTATAAAAAGTCCCCCTTTCCACTCATAGTAAATTTTCTTTGCTTTTATTTGCCAGTATGTGTGTACCTATACAACATTTACTTATATATCAGTAGATGTATACCATGGGACCTGGATATTATACTTTTGTTATGCTATGTCTGCAATGATTGCTTTTTTTGAAAGATAAATTAGGAATGATTTATATGATAATTTACATTAATATGTAAGCATTATAACTTCATTTTGACTTTGCATTATGGAATCTTCTTATTGAATTAGAGCTCCCCAGTATATTTGACTGGACACTACATTTTGAAAATGTTAGAATGTTTTAATATTAAGCTTGCATGAGAATTCGAAATACGTACCTGTATATATATATATTTTTTTTTAGATAATATACTGTATTACTGCTTTTATGTAAGTAAGCCTTGCCTTTGCTTCAGTAAAATATATATCTTTAGATAATTGCAGTGTTATTTTTTCAGCATTTCAGTTATTTTTTCAATATGATTTCTTCATAAAGAGAGGATATTTAATTTCCAGGCATACTACTTTTGCTCATGCTTTTTTTTTATTTCCTTTTTTTTCTCAAAATGAAGAAGAAGCCACGAGGAAAGCCATCTGCCTACTCTGTAAGTCTGTTTTTATTATTTTGCATGGCATCTGATCACTACCTAAACCTTTTCCAGCTACTCCACAACTTCAAAAAGAATCCCTTAAAATTTGATTTTTTATTATAAAGCCTCTCATGCTATATTCAGAATGTCTTGAAATTATTTGTTCATATGTGCCTGGATTAAAATTTGCTGCCAAACAAGAGATTGAATTATTATTGGTGAATTTCACTTTTTTGAAGTGTCATTTCCCTTACTATTACACAATTCATAATACTGCAAGAGCAGTGGGTCTTGCAGTTAAATATTGTTATGCATTGGGCTTCATGGTAAATAAGCAAATTAATATTATTGCTTTTTTTACACACACAATTTTTACAGCCTTTAAACCATTAATTTTTATCGTTGTCATTATTTCTCTTACTTGTAAATTCCAATCTTCAAATTTTTATTAAATTTCTTTTTAAGGTTGCATTTTTTTTAATCTGAAAATTGTATTTCTTCCATTTGTTAACTTTATATACAGTGTAACAAAATGTTTTTTGCAACTTGTATAGTGAGTGCACATCACAGCACATTGATCTGTAAGTGCACTTCTCTACACCGGCTTTCCCACCTCTCATCTTTGTTTTGCAGTCATCTCCAAGCACTTTATACATTCTCAAACTTAAATTCACAAATAACCCACAGTTTGGGCAGGAAGTTTTAGCATTGTTACATCACGACTTGAAAATGGTCCAGGATGGGTTGAACATCGTCTAACATTTCATCTCCAAATTGTGGGCTAGTTGTGAATTTTCCCAGCCTTGGTGTTGGGATATTTATTCTTTTTTATAATTTAAATCATTTATTAATGCTTTTCTTCACTTACACCCATAATCATAAATCACATATGAACCACTTTTTTACTTTTATGTATAGTAGCATTTATACTATATTTGTAAATTCCTCACATTGCATTCTTCTAATTTCACATTGATTTTCTTTAAAAGCACAGTACAGTGGACCTCCGGTTTTTGTACTTAATCCATTCCAGAAGGTCGATCTAAAAACAAAACGTACGAAAACTGAATTAATATTTCCCATAAGTAATAATGTAAATACAGTGGACCCTCGGCCAACAAAGGCATTGTCTAACAATAAATTCATCCAACGAAGCGTTTGAGCGTAAAAATTTTGGCCCGACCAACGATGAAAAACTCGGCCAACATGATTCGTCCTGAACCTGTCCGTCCAGCCTGAGCACCTCAGCTGCCCTTCCGTCATTGTTTACAAGCCAGGGTGGATGGTTCCACGCATATATTCGATAAATTTTGTATTATTCCATTGTTTTTAGTACTTGTAACTGCTAAATAAGCCACCATGGCCCCAAAGAAAGCTAGTGCCAACCCTGTGGTAAAAAGGGTGAGAAATACTATCAAAATACTATCGTACCACGGTCAGCTGCTGCTGCACCACAGTCAGCTGTTGCTGCTGCTGCACCACCATCAGCTGTTGCTCCACCACCATCAGCTGTACTACTTGAAGATGTGGAGAGAGTGTTTTTGGTGTGGCTTAACGAGAAACAATTACCAAGAAACAATTAACCCCATAGGGTTAGCCACCCAGGATAACCCAAGAAAGTCAGTGCATCATCGAAGACTGTCTAACTTATTTCCATTGGGGTCCTTCATCTTGTCCCCCAGGATGTGACCTACACCAGTCGACTAACACCCAGGTGAACAGGTAAAAATGCCTGGAACTAGTGCTCATATTGGTGAATTTAAGGCCAGCAAGGTTTGGTTTGAGAGATTTAAGAATCGTAGTGACATACACAGGGTGATAAGGCATGGTGAAGCTGAAAAATTCCAAACAACAAGTGTTCAATATGACAAAACAGGCCTGTTCTGGAAGAAAATGCCAAACAGGACCTACATTACTCAGGAGAAAAAGGCACTCCCAGAACACAAGCCTATGAAAGACAGGCTAACTCTCATGTTTTGTTTTAATGCTAGTGGGGATTGCAAAGTGAAGCCTTTACTCATGTATCACTGAAAATCCTAGAGTGTTCAAGAACAACAGTGTCTCATCACTCATCAATACTCTTCAATAAAGGTAAGTGTCATTTTAACATTTATTTATGTAGTTATTGTGCATGTCTCATTGTTTTCTTCGTAGGGAAATGTATATTTCATGAAAAAAAAAATTAATACTTTTGGCTGTCTGGAACGGATTAATTGGATTTCCATTATTTCTTATGGGGAAAATTAATTCGACACGATAAACTCGCCTTTAGATAAGCTCTCTGGAACGGATTAATATCGTTGGTCGAGGGTCCACTGTACAATTAATCTCTTCCAGACCCCCAAAAATATTAACAAAAAATACTTTTTTTTTTTTTTAAAGAATAACTATAGTTTTACATACAGAAAACAATGAGAAATAAATATAAATGACTAATTTTAATGATAAATGAACATTACATACCTTTATTGAAGATTCTTGTTGGTGTATTCAAGAAAGCGAGAAGGGGAGAGGGAGTTGGGGTTATTGTTTGGAAAGGAAATCCCCCTCCATAAGGACTTCAGGTATCAAAGCCCTCTCTGGGGTTACTTCCCTTCTTTGTTTTTTACTGGCACTGGACTCGTGTTGCACTAAAAATCTGTCCTGTTTCTGGGGTCTCTTTAAGATTTGCCTAAAATGGGACAAGGTATTATCACTGAACATGTTACAGATATGGCTTTTATCAGCTTTGTCAGGGTGATATTTTTCAACAAAAGTTTGCAACTCATTCCACTTTGCACACATGTCCTTAATCACTGAAGAAGGCACCTTCTCTCCTCTCTCTTCCTCCTCCTCTTCTGCAGGTTTGTCTGAACTTGCAGTCTCACCATGCCTTACAACACTGTGTATGCCACTACACTTCTTGAATCTGTTGAACCAGCCTGTGCTGGCCTTAAATTTACTAACAGCATCACTCATCCAGGCATTTTCTTTACGAGATCCGCATGCACCTACCTTGCCTTTTCGCAAATGATCAACTCCACAACACTGTTTCCTGCTAACTGTTTCTTGTTGATCCACACCAGCAACAACTTTTGCACATCTTTGATTGTTTGTGATCTCTGTTTCGTTAGTACATTTACCCCTTTTGCAGGTTGAGCTTCCTTGAGTTCTACTTTCTTAGCCAGGATGGAAGAGATTGTTGATTTCAACTTCCCATACATCCTGGCAAGTTCGGCTAAACGTATGCCACTTTCACACATTTCTACATTCTCTTTCTTGAATTCTATCATGTTTCTCACCTTCTTAACCATACGGCTGGCACTAGCAGCTTTCTTTGGGCCCATGGTGGCTTATTTTGCAGTCACAATCAATAAACAAGCACAAAAATTGTGAAATGTTTAGAATGAATGCTCACTCAACCAGTGACAAAGCCAGACTGACAGCATTCCTGGGTGGGCAGACGTGTATGATACGTACGATTTCCAGATTGAGGTATGAAAACTGGACCAAAATTTCACCCAGAAAAGTGTTCCAAAACCGAATTGTATGATATGTGGACTGTACGAAAACCAGAGGCCCACTGTATTATATTTTACTTTTACTTGTGTTAAGCACAAGACTGAAGTAGAACACCAGGTGCGGTTAGTTCAGAATATATCTGAAAAAGTTACTGAAAGGTTTGAGAACGAGGGAAAAGAGCCAGAAAAGAATAAAGCTAAAATTAAAGAAAGCTGGGCCAAAATCATTAAAGGAAAGACAGAGGTAGAGCAGCAGATGGTATTTGTAAAGCAATTTTCCACCGCAGTTTTATTTTTTAACACACTGGCCATCTCCGACCAAGGCAGGGTGACCCAAAAAAGAAACACTTTCACTAACAGTCACACTATCACTGTATTGCTGTATTGCCAGAGGCACACAGATATGACAGTTTAGATATCCCTCTAAACAGTAAATATCCCAAACCCCTCCTTTAGAGGTTTTACTATTAATTTCAAGTTGAATAAAGGTATGAATATTTTTATCATGCTGCAGCAGACCTATCAAGAGGCCACAGTTGTAAATTAAGAGTGGAAAGGGCAATTAATTTTTTTCTTTGCAAGCAGACTGATTGACAAATGGAATGACATAAAAGAGGAGATAGTAAGTGCTACAACCATTGGGTATTTATTTCTACAAGTACATGTACAAAGGAGGGGTGTTAATGTTGCAGTTTTATAATGTTGCCTCTAGCAAGACAGTGATGGAGTGAATGATGGTGAAAGCTTTTCTTTTTTGGGCCACCCTACTTTGGTGGGAAACAGCTGAGGTGTTAATAAACAAAACATGTACAAGGTATACAAGCCTAGCTCACATCAATGATATACTACTGTATAGAAGGCCGCTTGTCGTGCAGAGCATTTCGGGCAAATTAGGTCAGTTTTGTCCCAGGATGTGACCCACACCAGTCCACCAGCACCCAGATACTCATTTTTACTGATGGGTGAACATGGACAACCGGTGTAAGGAAACACACCCAATGTTTCCACCCTTGCTGAGAATCAAACCCAAACCCTCAGTGTGTGAAGGAAGAGCTTTTGCCACCAGGCCACAGGCCACCAATAACTACAAATAGGAGCCCTTTGATTGAACTTTGTATAGAAAGGGGTTTAGTTATAGGTAATACATATTTTAAGAAAAAGAGGATAAATAAGTATACACGATATGATGTAGGGCGAAATGACAGTAGTTTGTTGGATTATGTATTGGTAGATAAAAGACTGTTGAGTAGACTTCAGGATGTACATGTTTATAGAGGGGCCACAGATATATCAGATCACTTTCTAGTTGTAGCTACACTGAGAGTAAAAGGTAGATGGGATACAAGGAGAATAGAAGCATCAGGGAAGAGAGAGGTGAAGGTTTATAAACTAAAAGAGGAGGCAGTTAGGGTAAGATATAAACAGCTATTGGAGGATAGATGGGCTAATGAGAGCATAGGCAATGGGGTCGAAGAGGTATGGGGTAGGTTTAAAAATGTAGTGTTAGAGTGTTCAGCAGAAGTTTGTGGTTACAGGAAAGTGGGTGCAGGAGGGAAGAGGAGCGATTGGTGGAATGATGATGTAAAGAGAGTAGTAAGGGAGAAAAAGTTAGCATATGAGAAGTTTTTACAAAGTAGAAGTGATGCAAGGAGGGAAGAGTATATGGAGAAAAAGAGAGAAGTTAAGAGAGTGGTGAAGCAATGTAAAAAGAGAGCAAATGAGAGAGTGGGTGAGATGTTATCAACAAATTTTGTTGAAAATAAGAAAGTTTTGGAGTGAGATTAACAAGTTAAGAAAGCCTAGAGAACAAATGGATTTGTCAGTTAAAAATAGGAGAGGAGAGTTATTAAATGGAGAGTTAGAGGTATTGGGAAGATGGAAGGAATATTTTGAGGAATTGTTAAATGTTGATGAAGATAGGGAAGCTGTGATTTCGTGTATAGGGCAAGGAGGAATAACATCTTGTAGGAGTGAGGAAGAGCCAGTTGTGAGTGTGGGGAAGTTCGTGAGGCAGTAGGTAAAATGAAAGGGGGTAAGGCAGCCGGGATTGATGGGATAAAGATAGAAATGTTAAAAGCAGGTGGGGATATAGTTTTGGAGTGGTTGGTGCAATTATTTAATAAATGTATGGAAGAGGGTAAGGTACCTAGGGATTGGCAGAGAGCATGCATAGTTCCTTTGTATAAAGGCAAAGGGGATAAAAGAGATTGCAAAAATTATAGGGGGATAAGTCTGTTGAGTGTACCTGGTAAAGTGTATGGTAGAGTTATAATTGAAAGAATTAAGAGTAAGACGGAGAATAGGATAGCAGATGAACAAGGAGGCTTTAGGAAAGGTAGGGGGTGTGTGGACCAGGTGTTTACAGTGAAACATATAAGTGAACAGTATTTAGATAAGGCTAAAGAGGTCTTTGTGGCATTTATGGATTTGGAAAAGGCGTATGACAGGGTGGATAGGGGGGCAATGTGGCAGATGTTGCAAGTGTATGGTGTAGGAGGTAGGTTACTGAAAGCAGTGAAGAGTTTTTACGAGGATAGTGAGGCTCAAGTTAGAGTATGTAGGAAAGAGGGAAATTTTTTCCCAGTAAAAGTAGGCCTTAGACAAGGATGTGTGATGTCACCGTGGTTGTTTAATATATTTATAGATGGGGTTGTAAGAGAAGTAAATGCGAGGGTCTTGGCAAGAGGCGTGGAGTTAAAAGATAAAGAATCACACACAAAGTGGGAGTTGTCACAGCTGCTCTTTGCTGATGACACTGTGCTCTTGGGAGATTCTGAAGAGAAGTTGCAGAGATTGGTGGATGAATTTGGTAGGGTGTGCAAAAGAAGAAAATTAAAGGTGAATACAGGAAAGAGTAAGGTTATGAGGATAACAAAAAGATTAGGTGATGAAAGATTGAATATCAGATTGGAGGGAGAGAGTATGGAGGAGGTGAACGTATTCAGATATTTGGGAGTGGACGTGTCAGCGGATGGGTCTATGAAAGATGAGGTGAATCATAGAATTGATGAGGGAAAAAGAGTGAGTGGTGCACTTAGGAGTCTGTGGAGACAAAGAACTTTGTCCTTGGAGGCAAAGAGGGGAATGTATGAGAGTATAGTTTTACCAACGCTCTTATATGGGTGTGAAGCGTGGGTGATGAATGTTGCAGCGAGGAGAAGGCTGGAGGCAGTGGAGATGTCATGCCTGAGGGCAATGTGTGGTGTGAATATAATGCAGAGAATTCGTAGTTTGGAAGTTAGGAGGAGGTGCGGGATTACCAAAACTGTTGTCCAGAGGGCTGAGGAAGGGTTGTTGAGGTGGTTCGGACATGTAGAGAGAATGGAGCGAAACAGAATGACTTCAAGAGTGTATCAGTCTGTAGTGGAAGGAAGGCGGGGTAGGGGTCGGCCTAGGAAGGGTTGGAGGGAGGGGGTAAAGGAGGTTTTGTGTGCGAGGGGCTTGGACTTCCAGCAGGCATGTGTGAGCGTGTTTGATAGGAGTGAATGGAGACAAATGGTTTTTAATACTTGACGTGCTGTTGGAGTGTGAGCAAAGTAACATTTATGAAGGGATTCAGGGAAACCGGCAGGCCGGACTTGAGTTCTGGAGATGGGAAGTACAGTGCCTGCACTCTGAAGGAGGGGTGTTAATGTTGCAGTTTAAAAACTGTAGTGTAAAGCACCCTTCTGGCAAGACAGTGATGGAGTGAATGATGGTGAAAGTTTTTCTTTTTCGGGCCACCCTGCCTTGGTGGGAATCGGCCGGTGTGATAATAAATAAATAAATAAGGTAATAACATAGGTAATTACTGGTGAAGGGAGAGAGGAGTGATGGGGGGAAGGGAGGGGCAGTTATTTTCTCAGATTCAAGCAGAACTTCATGTAAAACAATTGGTGAAAAACAATTTAACACATCAGCCGTTCCCACCGAGGCAGGGTGGCCCAAAAAGATACATTGTATATATGTCACCCTGCCTTGGTGGGAGACAACTGGTGCATTAAAAAAAATATAACACCACTTTCCCTACTAAACAATGGATTCATTTCTAGTGATTACATATTTTTTTTTTTCATCATCGAGAAAAAGTTAACAGTGATTAGATACAAAATATTATTGTCCTGGTTCCCATTTCAAGTTATAACATAAGCTTTTATGAGAAAATACAATTCACTTAATGAACTGTTTCTCTGGTCTCTAACTACAGTGCTAGTCACGGCATTATGCTGCCCTCCCCCACACACGTACCAAAAGACAAACACGTACCTTGAAAGATTATAATATATATATTTGCACGCTTACTGAGGTTTTAATACTTGGTGCTGCATACTTTACACTTAATCATGTCCCTCATCTGTGTAGGAAGACTCTCACACAAATTCTTGAGGGTTTGGGGAGGTATATTATTCCATACCTCATGTAGAGCAGCCTTCAGCTGTGGGATGAAACTGATATCCTTGCCTAGTAAACTTTTTTCACTATTGACCAGAGGTTCTCAAATGCCTCAGGTAAATTGTCACACAATAACTCCAGGTAATTATACTGGTTCATATACTGGTTTTTGGGAAGCACAATGAGTTCATCAACACTCTGAGCACTGAAACACCCCCTAACCATGAGTGAGTCTGAGTGTTTGGTGGTCCCACAGGTGTAGCCTGGGTCTAGCAGGTCACTGCCTCTGGGCCAGTACACATGTCCACCATGGTTACAGGTGATGGTGAAGGTTGCTTCATCAGTCCAAAGTACTTCAGACCACTGTTGTGGATTCCAGTGAAAATATTTCTTTGCATAATCCAGCCTACATTTCTGCTGTGGCTTGGAGAGGATTGGTTTCTTAACCTGGCGGTGACTACTGCAGCCCAGTTCTGACACACATCTGTTAACAGTTCTTACAGACACCTCTAAGAGAAGATGTGGGTTCTTTTCTTTCAGTTCTCTAGCAGTTATCTTAGGTGTATTCTCTAACTGCTTCTTTAACACAGTTAAGGTACAAACAAATATCTTCTTCGAGGGGCCAGGATGAGGTTTGGCAGACGGTAACTCAACACCGCCTCCAGCCTTGAAACGCTGCACCCAGTTCCTCACTGAATGCTCACACCAACATTCTCCACTATTTCTTTTGTCTGTTGCCCAGCTTTGTGAAGCCATATGATTTGAGTTATAGTTTCAGGTGTTAAAGACTTCCTTTTACCCATAATCAAACATGTATAGCCCCAAAACCAAGGGGAACACTGGACAAAAGATGGGGTGGATGAAAGGCAGAAGTGCAACACTTCCTCTCACTATGGCAGCCACTTGAGCACTGAGGAATCACTGTGGAGTGTGGCGGCAGGCCATGATGTCATGCTAATGGCTGCTACCCAGCATAATGCACTAACAAAAAACGACCCTTCTGTGTGGTTGGCCTTTGATTTTTGTCACGGCATTATGCTGGGGCACTCGCCCGGCATAATGCCGTAACTAGCACTGTAGGTTATTAAGTGGGGTAGGCTGTATTGTTAGTCACCTGCCTAAGTGTAAAGCATACTTTTTGGTGAAAGTGGAATTTGGGTGGTAAAAGTTAAAATGCCCAGTATTATTAAAGAGAATTAGGTTACTATAGGACTGGTCTCACTTATGGTAATCATTATCTTAATAGAAATATTTGTAAATCTTTAAATTTCTCATGCACTAAATATACATTACATATACATTATAGATATTTGCTTATTATAATCTTAACATTATAATTAAATATTCATTGCAAAATGCTTGTAGTCTCGGATTAATCTGCACATCTTTATCTATAGGTGACTCCAGATGGTAAAGTTGTATATCGGGGAGGACCACACCAGCAGCAGCGTGGACCTGGGACAAGTGGAAATCCTGCAGCTGACTACTCTGAGGGTGCTAGTCATGTCTTGGCCGTAATTCATGAAATTTTAGGTCACCATAGGGCAGTTGAACAGAGATGGTCAGATAAGAAGCTCAAGTTACACCAAAGATTGGCACTTCGTTTATTTCAAGAAGACGTGAAACAGGTGAATTTTTTTAATATGTATACTATGATTTTTTTTAAGTATGCTGTAAATTTTTGTTCAAATGTAATGTAAATTTTGTTCATACAAACTAATTTTTATACATATATATACTGTAAGTTCCAGTTTACACTTCAGTAGCCCTTAAAAGTTATGAATGGTACAAACTGATATAGTGCATGGTTTTAAATATGGATAACACTGTATATAGAACATTTGTGTAAATAACATTATATTTTTTCTTTTTGTATTAGGTCCTTGACTGGTTGCAGACACACGGTGAAGTCTTTCTACATAAAAATCCTGGCATAGGTCGTAATCTCTCTAAAGCTCGGATGTACCAAAAGAGTCATGAGCATTTTGAAAATGTTGCACAGGTATTTTATATTGCTCTAGCTATATGTTGCTAAACCAGATAATATGCTGGATAGTAAGCATGTGTTTACAAATGAACTATGATGGTGTATGATGACTGCTGTGGTATTAAGGTTACACAAGCTGTCAGAGGTTGAGAAATACAACTTTATCTTGGCTAGGTAGACATTGTTGGGGGGATGTTCTTGGATTTAACGTGCTAAGAGAGTGTAAGCATAGTAATGTTTATTAAGAGATTCAAGAAAACCAGATAGCCAAACATGAGTTTTGGTTTGTGAGAAGTGCAATATATGCCTTAAGTTGGGTGGAAATGTTACAGTTTGGTGCATCATTGTTGGCTCACAGTGTTTGTAACTTTCCTTAAAGATAGCTAAGAAATTAATGAAAGTGAATGAATTTCCTTCATTCCTTGGTGGGAATGAGTGTTATAGTAAATTTTTGTATTAGTTATATTTGTAAATTATTTTTGGTATATTGTCTGTGTCGATAAATGCAATGTGGGCTCAAGTCTGATTTTATCTGTAATATTTATGTTTTCAGAATACGTATACCAATGCAGAAAAATTATTACAAGCAGCAGAGGAACTTGCTCATACCGGGGAATGTAATCCAGAGGAGATCTATAGTGTTGCTCAAAGGTTGGACTCGCACATTGCAAGTTTTGCAACCAGAGTGCAGCAAAGACATCGACTTCTTAATATGGCTGTTTTGTTTTATACTCATGAAAAGGAGGTGAGAACTGCATTATTTATTATGTCTTAATACCTGTTAGCTACTTTGTCTCCATCTTAGCAAATGTCTTATGGGTGTCACAAGATGATTCTTCTACCACTATGTTGTGTGATAACTTGAGAATTCAGTTATAATAACCAGCAAACAAAGTGATTTATTACTGTTGTTATAGAGGTTTTATAGACAAATTTCAGTGCTTCTAATGGTTCATGAAACTCTCTACAGAGGCCAGTTTTTCATATATCAAATCATTAGAATATGGACATCACACAATTACTATAAGTATTTTAATACTGTACATGAAAGGCTCTTTATTTTCAAATGGCTTTTCTAAAGTAGTTTTTTATAATTTTTTGGTAGTTGCTGTTCATTTTATTGTTTGAGACTTAAGTTTTCATTAATGTTGTTCATTTCTTTTTTTGAGGATTTGAAGCCTTAGTATTATTCATTTTATTATTTAAGGATTAGAAATCTCAGTTAAATTTTTTATTTAATATTTCATGATGAGAAGTCTTGCTTAATATTTTTTATTTTTTTTTTTTTATTATCACACCGGCCGATTCCCACCAAGGCAGGGTGGCCCGAAAAAGAAAAACTTTCACCATCATTCACTCCATCACTGTCTTGCCAGAAGGGTGCTTTACACTACAGTTTTTAAACTGCAACATTAACACCCCTCCTTCAGAGTGCAGGCACTGTACTTCCCATCTCCAGAACTCAAGTCCGGCCTGCCGGTTTCCCTGAATCCCTTCATAAATGTTACTTTGCTCACACTCCAACAGCACGTCAAGTATTAAAAACCATTTGTCTCCATTCACTCCTATCAAACACGCTCACGCATGCCTGCTGGAAGTCCAAGCCCCTCGCACACAAAACCTCCTTTACCCCCTCCCTCCAACCCTTCCTAGGCCGACCCCTACCCCGCCTTCCTTCCACTACAGACTGATACACTCTTGAAGTCATTCTGTTTCGCTCCATTCTCTCTACATGTCCGAACCACCTCAACAACCCTTCCTCATCCCTCTGGACAACAGTTTTGGTAATCCCGCACCTCCTCCTAACTTCCAAACTACGAATTCTCTGCATTATATTCACACCACACATTGCCCTCAGACATGACATCTCCACTGCCTCCAGCCTTCTCCTCGCTGCAACATTCATCACCCACGCTTCACACCCATATAAGAGCGTTGGTAAAACTATACTCTCATACATTCCCCTCTTTGCCTCCAAGGACAAAGTTCTTTGTCTCCACAGACTCCTAAGTGCACCACTCACTCTTTTTTTCCCTCATCAATTCTATGATTCACCTCATCTTTCATAGACCATCCGCTGACACGTCCACTCCCAAATATCTGAATACGTTCACCTCCTCCATACTCTCTCCCTCCAATCTGATATTCAATCTTTCATCACCTAATCTTTTTGTTATCCTCATAACCTTACTCTTTCCTGTATTCACCTTTAATTTTCTTCTTTTGCACACCCTACCAAATTCATCCACCAATCTCTGCAACTTTCTCTTCAGAATCTCCCAAGAGCACAGTGTCATCAGCAAAGAGCAGCTGTGACAACTCCCACTTTGTGTGTGATTCTTTATCTTTTAACTCCACGCCTCTTGCCAAGACCCTCGCATTTACTTCTCTTACAACCCCATCTATAAATATATTAAACAACCACGGTGACATCACACATCCTTGTCTAAGGCCTACTTTTACTGGGAAAAAATTTCCCTCTTTCCTACATACTCTAACTTGAGCCTCACTATCCTCGTAAAAACTCTTCACTGCTTTCAGTAACCTACCTCCTACACCATACACTTGCAACATCTGCCACATTGCCCCCCTATCCACCCTGTCATACGCCTTTTCCAAATCCATAAATGCCACAAAGACCTCTTTAGCCTTATCTAAATACTGTTCACTTATATGTTTCACTGTAAACACCTGGTCCACACACCCCCTACCTTTCCTACCTTTGCTTAATATGCTGTAATAATTTTTGCAGCTGTTGTCTTGGTTAGAGGAGCTGAGTTCAGAATTAGAAAGTGAAGAAAGGGTGGACGAAACTGCTGATTCGGTTGAGGCAGCAGAGAGATTATTGGCTCAGATGACAACACAACGAGACTCCACTCTCGATGCTTGTGTCTCTACCACCCATGAGGGAGAAGGACTTTTAAATGAACTCAGGTATATAGTAAATGTCCTGTATCTTGCCAGTTGTAAAGGAAGTTACTAGCTTTTGGGATTTGATGTGCTGTTAGAGTTTTAATAAGGTAATATCTTTGAAAGGATTCAGAGACACTAGCTAGCTAAGCTACATGTTCATCCAGCATTGATAGGACTGTGTCTAGGTGATTATATTAATGTGACAATAAAGTAAATAATGAAATAATCATAAATAGCATATATATAATAAGGTAAAGTTTAGATTATTTGTTATATATAAGTACCTTTAGACAGGATTCAGTTTGAAATTTTCTAAATAACTTTAGTGAGGATAATGTCCTTAGAATTGTTTTGGAGGCTTTGAAAGTTGAAAATGCTTTTGAATAAATGGTTAAAATTAAATTGGGTTGCCTATTTAAAACTGATAGACATTGTTTACTTTTCAGATCTGCTAATGTGCCTCCTGAAACTGGTTGTGGATCTGTAGAAGGTGTGGAAGAAGCTTTAGAAAGACTAGTCAAAAAACGTGATGAATTGGAAAATTTGTGGGCTACTCGTAAACTTAGATTGGATCTACTGCTTCAGTTAAGGCTCTTTCAAAGAGAATCTGTAGAAGTGAGAATGTTTTGACTTTCAGTTAATATTGTTATCCATTCACGTTTCTGGTACTGTACAGGATAGCCTCATTGAACAATGAGGTTGAGTTCCTGGAAACTCTAGTTTTGCATTTTAGGTCAGGATGTAAAATAGATTTAAATATTTATTTTGTTTGGTGCTGTATTCTAAATATTGTCTTTTTCTGTTTTCATAAGGCACCCAGATGTGTGTTTTATTTTAAACTTAAATCTTCAATAAATGTCTTATTATTTCATCACAGCTCCTTGGACAATTGGATCTCTGGGGTGAAAAGCTACAAGACACAGACTTTGGACGAGACATAACTGAAGCAGAGCAAATGTTAGCACTGCACAATGACTCGACTTCTCACATGCAGAATGCAACATATCAGGTGCTTCAGAGTGGGCAGGAACTTTTGCAAGTAAGTTTCTTTTGAATTCTAAGCTTTAAAAATTAAGTAAGGGGTTTGGGATATTGGCAGTTTGGAGGGATATGTTGTGTATCTTCATATGTATATGCTTTTAAACTGTTTTATTTTGAGCACCTCTGCAAAAACAGTGATTATGTGTGGGTGAGGTGAAAGCATTGAATAATGATGAAAGTATTTTCTTTTTGGGGATTTTCTCTCTTTTTTTGGGTCACCCTGCCTCGGTGGGAGATGGCCAACGTGTTGAAAAAAAAAAAATTATTGTCATTACATTAGGACCTCCATATCTGCAGGGAAACTTGCCAAGGACCTGCCGTGGATACTGAAACAGTGGATAGTAGCAAACTCTATGTATATATAAGTCTTATACATACCTATTATAAAGTTTAATTGATAAATTATGCACAATGAGTGGAGAATTAACACTTTTTCACTGATGAGAAGCACTTCACGGCTTCTCTTAGGCTTTGAAGAACTATCAGGTTTCACTACTCCTGTGCTTTTGGGCCATTATTATGTGAAATTACGAGTTATTTTTGGGCCACTGTAAACAGTGGATACCTGAAACTGTGGATACCAAATCAGTGGATACAGGGGTTCTACTGTACTTAGTGTAAATGCTTGTTACCATAAAGATTATTTCCAAATATTTTGCTTTTTAAAAAAATAAAATCAATCAATTTATGCTTGTATGAGGCAGGAGGAATTATATGGGATTTAACTCATTATCTGTGCAAACAGTGCAGTGGTAGCATCTCCACCTCACACCCATAAAGACAGTAGATTGATTCTCATATATTTCTTTACTTCTCATATTGTTATAGTCATGCTAGTGTAAAATTCTTATTTTCAATTTGTGCTTTATGTATGTGATAATAAAATGAACTTCCTGAAATTTTCAACAGGTATTGTAATAGTTGGTTGCTCATCAGTTAAAAGTATGGATATATTCTCACCCATTTCTCAACTTACTGAAAGTTCAGCTAACACATTCACTGTGTTTTATTTTACATTTAATCTAATATAATTTTCTCTCTCTCTCTCTCTCTCTCTCTCTCTCTCTTTTTTTTTTTGCTATCTTTATCATTTAGCTTCTTGAGACGTCAGGAATCCAGATCCGTGCTGATGCAGAATCAGATGGAAACACAAAAGTTTCCATGTTATTAGAATGCATTCATGAACGACAGATGGATATAGAGGTGCTGACAGATATGAAGCGAATCAAACTAGAGCAGTGTATTCACCTGCTTCAATTTGAAAATGAAGCCAATCAAGTAAGTTTGGCTTAGGTTTTACTAGTTTACAATTCATTTATCATTGAATTATTTACCTCTCTTAACATTTGACTCATGTTACATTCTTGAATATCATTTCAAAATTTTTAATTAGTTATTCAAATTAGAAAAAAATTACACATAGTACAATTGTAAATCATGTTAGTTTCTGTATTGCATTAAATATGTATTCCTAAGATTAACACAACATGTATATAACATAGGTGATCAGTTGGATCAGGAATGGAGAAGCAGTATTAGCAGCAAGTTTTACCATTCCCAGTTCCTTGGCAGAATCAAATGCTTTATCACATGATCACGACCAGTTCCAGGTATGTTTTTGTGGTTCTCTTATTTGCATTTTGATCCACACGATTAGCTTTTCTTGGGGGGGGGGGGGTAAATCTTGTAGGTTAGGTTAGTAGACAGCAACCACCTAGAGAGGTACTAGCATCCTGCCATATGAGTGTGAAATGGAAACCTGTAATTGTTGTACATGATGGTAGGATTGCTGGTGTCTTTTCTTTCTGTTTCATAAACATGTAAGATAGCAGGTACATCTTGGTACTTCTTCTTACACTTAGGTAATACTAAACATGCATGTACACAAATGTATACACATCCATCTGAGTTTTTTTTCTATTTTCTTAATAGTTCCTGTTTTTATTTATTTCCCTTCATCTCCAAGGGGAAGTGGAAAACATTCCTTCCTCCATATGCTATGCATGTCATAAAAGGTGACTAAAATACTGGGAGCATAGGGCTAGAAGCCCCTTTTCCTGTTTAAATTATTAAATTTAAAAAGAAAAGCTTTCATTTTTCTTTTTATGTCGCTCTGCCTTGATGAGATATGGCTGTTGTGTTGGAAACAAAAGAAGAAGAATGTTTGTAAATGTAGAGCAGATGATAAGAAAAAGATGATTGTCAATGTTATGAATGAAAAGAAGCTGGATATCCTGGCTCTAAGTGAAACAAAAGCTGAAGGGAGTAGGTGTTTCAGTGGGAAGAAATAAGTGAGATTAGGTCAGAGGTTATCAGAGGAGAGGAGTAACTAGCAATAATGGAGATAAATCAGTTATGGCAGGAAAAGAGGGAATATAATGTATAAGTTCAAGGATTGAATGGATTAAAATAAGAGTCAGGTGCAAACAGTGGGTTATACTGTTCATGCACCTGCAGAAGAGAGAGAGAGAGAGAGATTTTGGGAGATGTTAAATGAGTGTTTAGAGAGCTTGGAACCAAGTGAGAGAGTAATTGTGAACCATAACCAGGGGAAGGGTTCACAATTATCTCTCAAAATTTCACAGAGGGAAAATGTATACATAGTGTAAAAGCATGTTTAGTTTTTACCAATTTAAGAAGAAGTAAAAAAGGTGCCGGCTACTTGAAAGGGTTTATGAAACAGAAAAAAAAACACCAGCAATCCTCCCCACATGTAAACAATTACAGGTTCCTTTTAAACACTCTTTGGGGCGGGATGCTAGTACCTCTCAGGGGGTTCCCTGCCCTACAAACCCTTTAACCACAATTTTTTGGAAATTTGGTTGGTGCTATTATTTAATAAATGTAAAAGAAGGGGGAAAGGGTTACCTGGGGATTGCAAAGAGAAAGCATAGTTCCCTTTGTAAAAAGGCAAAGGGAAAAAAAGAGAGTGCAAAAAGTAGGTGGATAATTTTCGGGGGGAGATATAAGCACAATTGGCAAAAGGGGGGGCTGTGAAAAAGAGGGAGTAATTTGGGGGGGTTAAGGGGGTTTGGAATATTTTTAAAAAAAATGCAGAAATTAGAATGTGGGGCAAATTTGGGGGTTAAGGGGGGTTTGGGGCAGGAGGAAAGAGGAGTGTTTGGTGGAATGAGGAAGAAAAAGGGTGGAAAAAAGAAAAAAAAGGTAGCTTAAGGGGATTTTTACAAAGCAAAGTTTTTATAAAAGACCCGAGAAAATTTTGGAGAGAAAAAGAAAGGAAAAAGAGATTTGGTAGAGAGTGCAAAAGGAGAGCGGGATGAAGAGTGTGAGGGGGACTGTAAAAAAATTTTTAATTTGAAAATAAGGAAAAATTTTTTAGAGTGATTTTTAAACCCCAAATTTTAAAAAAACCCTAGGAAAGTAGGGATTTGTCAGTTAAAAACAGAGGGGGGGATTAGTAGATGGGAGACGAGGTATTAGGTAGTTTGCAAAAATTTTTTGGAGGAATTTTTTAAATGTTAGGGGAAAAAAGGAGGCAGTAATTTCCTTGCACTGGTCGGGGAGGAAACCATCTTTTAGGAGTGAAGAAGACCCGAATGTAAGTGGGGGAGTCCGGGGCCCTTTAACATAGAATGAAAGGGGGTAAAGCGGGCGGGAAACCGGGATGGGATTTTGACAAAAAAGTTAAAAGCGGGGGGGAATAGTTTTTAAATGGTTGGTACTTTTGTTTAATAAATGTAGAAAGAGGGAAGGTACCGGGGTTTGGGCGGAGAGAAAGTATAGCCCCCTTTATAAAAAGGGGAAAGGGGAACCCCCAAAAAGACGGGGAAAAATTGTAGAGGAAAAAGTTTACTGAGTTACCGGGAAAAGTGTACGGTGGGGTTTAAATTTTGAAAAAAATTTAAGAGGTAAGACAGAAGTGGGATTGCTGATGGGGAAAAGGATTTTTCCCAGTTGGGGTAGGGGAGGTAATAAAGTTTTTTACATTGAAGCATAAAAAGGAACATATTTAGATAAAGGTAGGGAAGTTTTTTTTTGAAATTTATGGATTTAGAAAAGGAAAATTTTGTAGAGTGGATAGAGGAAAAATGTGGCAGATGTTGCAAGGTTTTGAATAGGTAAAAAGTTATTAAATGTTTGGAAATCGAGAATTTGGTCATAAAAAAGCGTGAAATGAAACCGGGAGAAAAAGGGGAAATTTGCAGAGGAAGAGAAAATTTTTTGGGAAAATTTTTTAAGGAATTTAAAGGGGGCTTTTAAAACCCAAGTGAGAGAGTAATTGGGTGGGGGGGGATTTGGAATGCAAAAGTAGGAAAAAAACTTTTAGAGAGGGGGGGTTAAGGAAATTTTGGGGGGTTTCCGGGTTTTTAAAAATAAATAAGGGGAGCCCTTTGATTGAACTTTGTATAAAAAGGGTTTAGTTATAGGAAAAATACATTTTTTAAGAACAAGGATAAATAATATCCACATATGATGTGGGCGAAATGACAGAATTTTGTGGTTTTATGAAATTTGAAAAAAAGACGTTGAAGACTTCGGGAAGTACTTTTTTTAATGGGGGGGGCCCACAGATATACAAAACACTTTTCTATTGTAGCACACTGAAGTAAAAGGTAGATGGGGATCCAAAGGAAATAGAAGCATCAGGGAAGAGAGGGGGTGAAGGTTTAAAAAACTAAAAGAGGAGGCATTTTGGGGTTTAAGATAAAACCCCTTTGGAAAAGGATAATGGGCTAATGAGGGGAAATAGGGCAAGGGGGTCAAGAGGTTGGGGTTTTTTTAAAAATTTAAGTGTTAGAGTCCAGCAAAGTTTGTGGTTACGGAAAGTGGGGCGGGGAGGGAAGGGAGCGTTTGGGGGAAAAGATGAATGTAAAGAGAGTAGAAAGGGGAAAGAAAAATTTAGCATATGAAAATTTTTTTAACAAAGTAGAATTTATGCAAGGGGGAAGAGTATAGGAGAAAAAAAGAGAATTAAGAGAGTGGTGAAGCAATGTAAAAAGAAGCAAATGAGAGGGGTGGGGAAAAGTTACCCAACAAATTTTTTTGAAAATAGAAAAAGTTTTGGAGTAAATTTTAAAAAAGTTAAGAAAGCCTAAGAACAAAGGGATTTGTCAGTTAAAAATGGGAGAGGAAAAGGTTTTTTAAAAGGAGAGTTAGAGTTTTGGGGAAATGGAAGGAATATTTTGAAAATTTGGGTTTAAATGTTAAATGAAAAATAGGGAAGCTGTGTTTTCGTGTAAGGGCAAGGGGGAATAACATCTTGTAGAGGGGAGGAAAGCCATTTGTGATTGGGGGGAATTTCGTGGGGCAGTGGGAAAAATGAAAGGGGGAAAAGGCAGCCGGATTGAGGGGAAAAAGATAGAAATTTTTTAAAAGGGGCAGGTGGGGAAAAAATTTTTGGAGGGGTTGGTGAAAATTATTTAAAAAAGGTAGGGAAAAGGGGTAAGGTCCCTTGGGGGGATTGGAAAGGAGAGCATGATAGTTCCTTTGATAAAGGCAAAGGGGATAAAAGAGAGTGCAAAAATTATAGGGATAAGTCTGTTGATTGTACCTGGTAAAGTGAATGGTAGATTTTAAAAATGAAAAAAATTAAGAAAAGAACGGAAATATAGCAGATAAAAACAAGGGGGTTTTAGGAAAGGTAGGGGGTGGTGCCCCGGGTTTTACATTGAAACATAAAATTTGAACAGAATTTGGATAAGGCTAAAGGGGTTTTTGGGTGGATTTATGGATTTGGAAAAGGCGAATGACGGGGGGATAGGGGAAAAAGGGGGGCAAAATTTTTGCAAGGGGTATGGTTGGGAAGGTGGGGTTACGGGAAAGCAGTGAAGAGTTTTTACGGGGATAGGGGAGGCTCAATTTAGAGTATGTAGGAAAGAGGGAAAATTTTTTTTTCCCAGAAAAAGAAAGGCCTAAGACAAGGATTGTGATGTCCACCGGGGTTGTTTAATATTTTAAATAGAGGGGTTTGTAAGAGAAGTAAATGCGAGGGCCCTTGGCAAGAGGCGTGGATTAAAAATAAAAATCACCCCCAACAAAAAAGGGGGATTTTGCCCCACACTGCTTTTTTCGATGAAAACTTTTGCTCTTGGGAGATTCGAAGGAATTTTGGCCAAGTTTGGGGTGGTTTAAATTTTGGGTTTGGGTGTGAAAAAGGTTTTTAAAAAGGGAAAAAGGGAAAGAGAAAGGGTTTTAAAGGAAAAAAAAAAAGGGAAAAAGATTAAATATCAATTGGAGGGGGGAAAAGAAAGGGAGGAGGTGAACAATTAAAGATATTTGGGAGGGGCCCCTGTCAAGGGGAAAGGGTTTCTATAAAAAGGTGGGGGTGAATCAAAAGAATTGATGGGGGAAAAAGATTTGAGTGGTGCACTTAGGAGTCGTGGAAAACAAAAACTTTGCCCCTTGGGGGCAAAGGGGGGAATGTATAAGTAATTTTTAAACCACCCCTTTTCAAAGGGGTGGTTTAATGGGGGGGGTGATGAAATGTTGAAAGCGAGGAGAAGGTGGGGGAAAGTGGAGATGCCCTGCGAGGGAAATGTGGGGTTGTGAATAAAAAGCAGGAACGTATTTTGGGAAGTTAGGGGGAAAGGTCGGATTACCAAAACTGTTGTCCAGAGGGCGGGGAAAGGGTTGTTGAGGGGGTTTGGGGACATGTAGAGAGAATGGACAAAACAGAAGACTTAAAAAAGTGAAATCAGTCGTAGTGGAAAAAGGGCCGGGGGTAGGGGCCCGGCCCCGGGAAGGGTTGGAGGGGGGGTAAAGGAGGTTTTGTGTCGGGGGGTTTGGGACTTTCCAGCAGGCATGCGTAGCGGGTTTTGTGGGAGTAAATTTGGAGAAAAATTTTTTTTTTTAATATTTGGGACGTGTGTTGGAGTGTGAGCAAAGTAAAAATTTTAAGGGATTCGGGGAAAAACCGGCGGGCCCCCGGACTTAGTCCTGGAAAAGGGGAAAGTACAGTGCCTGCACCCCGAAGGGGGGGTGTTAATGTTGCATTTTTAAAAAAAATTTAAAATTAAAAAGCACCCTTCTGGCAAGACAGTAAAGGAGTGAATGATGGGAAATTTTTCTTTTTTCGGGCCACCCTCCCTTGGTGGGAACGGCCGGGGTGTAATAAAAAAAAAATAAAAAAGAGTTTTTATGAGGATAGGGGAGGTCAGGTTTGGGTGGGGAAAAAGAAGGGAACTACTTCTCGGTAAAAGTAGGTCCCTTTAAAAGGGAAGTTAATGTCCCCCATGGGGTTGTTTTTATATTTAAAAAAAAGGGGGTTTTAAAGGAAGTAAATGCAAGGGGGTTTGGGAGAAAGGGGGGGGATAAATTTTGGGGAATCAAATTCAAAATGGGAAATTTACCAAAAAGTTAAAATTTTTTCGGGTGAACGTAAATTATGGGGATTTTTTTTTAAAAAAAATTTTCAAAGGTTATGGATTATTTTTGGGAAATTGTGTAAAGGTAAAAGTTGAAAGTGAACAAGAAAAGAGTAAGGGGATGAGGGGACAAAAAGATTTGATGAAGAAAAAATTGGGTAACCCTTTTTTGGGGGAGGAGTATGGGAAAAGTAATGGTTTTTTTTGAAACTTGGGAGTTGACTTTTTGGGGGATGGATTTATGAAGGATGGGTTAATCCCTAGAATTGATAGGGAAAAAAAAAGAGGTGTGGAGGGGGAAAGAAAAGGGGGTGTAAGAAATAAAGTAGTACCAACACTCTTATATGGGGGGGAAGCTTGGGTGGAAAAAGCAGCAGCGAGGAGACGGTTGGGGGCAGTGGGAAAGTCCCTGTTTAAGGGCAAAGTGGGTTTTAAATTTTTTATGCAGAAAAAAATTTGGGGTGTGGGAAAATTTTGGGAAAAAGGGGTGGGGGTTAATAAAAGTTTTAGTCAAGAGAGAAAAGGGGGTTTTTTGAGGGGGTTTTTGGGCCCTTTAGAGAGAAAGGATCAAAGTAGAATGACAAGGGAAAACATATAAATCTTAGGAAGGAAGGGGGGTAGGGGGCGTCCTCAAAGGTTTTGGGGAAGGGGGTAAAGGAGGTTTTTGGGCAAGGGGGGTTGGGCTTCCCAGCAAGCGTGCAGAGCGTGTTAATAGGAGTGAAAGGAGACAATGGTACTTGGGACCTGACGAACTATTGGGGTTTTTAGCAGGGAATAATTTTAAATGGGAAGGGGATTCCCGGGGAAACCGGTTATTTTCCCTAATTCGGACTTGAGCCTGGGGAAAAGGGGAAATACAAAAAGCCTGCACTTTAAAGGAGGGGTTTGGGATATTGGGATTTGGAGGGATATTTGGTTTTCTTTAAATGTGATGCTTCTAAACTGTTTTCATTCTACACCTCGAAAAGGGGGGGGTAAAAAATTTAGGTGGGAAAGGTTGAAAGGAAAGAAAGTAATTTTTTTTTGGGGGTTTTCTTTTTTTTTTTGGGGCCCCTGCCCTTTGGGGGGAGACGGCCGACCCTTTTTGAAAAAAAAAAAAAAAAATCCCTTTTTAAATATACCGGTAAAGTGTAAAGGTAAAAGGGTTTTTATTGAAGAATTAAAAGTAAACGGAGAATAGGGTAGGGAGATGAAAAAGGAGGCTTTTAAAGGGAAAAGGGAGGGGGGGTGTGACCAGGTGTTTAAAGTGAAACATATAAAGGGAAAAGAATTTTTGATAAGGCTAAAGAGGTTTTTTGGGGGATTTAGGGTTGGAAAAGGATATTACAGGGTATAGGGGGCAAAAGTGCCCGTGTTGGGAGATGTAAGATAGGAGGTAAGTTTACTGGGAAACCCGTGAAAGTTTTTAAAGAGGAAAGTGAGGCTCAAGTTAGAGTAAGGGGAAAAAAGGGGAGATTATTTCCCCCTAAAAGTACCTTAGACAAGAAAGTGTGTGTCCCCGTGGGTTTAATATATTTAACTGGGGGTTTAAGAAAAATGAAAAGGGGAGGGTCTTGGCCCCAAAAGGGGAAAATTTTTAAAAAAAAAAAGAATTTAACCAAAAAAACGGGAATTGACAGTTGCTCTAGTTGGGGTTTTCAAAAGTGCTCTTGGTAAGGGATTTTTCCCGAAAAGAATTCAGAGGTTGGGATGAATATGGTAGGGATTTAAAAGAAGAAAAAATTTAAAGGAAAAACAGGGAAAAAGGGAAGGTATGAATAACAAAAAGGGGTTTAATGAAAGAAAAATTGGAAAATCAGTTTTAGGGAGAGGTAGGAAGGGAAAAATGAAATTTTTCAGGGAAATTTGGGGGTGGACGTCCCCGGAAGGGGCCTTAAAAAAAAATTTTGGGGGAAAACCCTAGAATTGATGAGGGGGAAAAAGGGGGACGGTGCACTTAGGGTCTGTGGAGACAAAGAAATTTTCCTTGAAGCAAAGAGGGGGAAAAATTTTGATAGTAAAAGTTTTTAAACCAAAGCTCCTGTTATTTTGAAGCCCTGGGTGATGAATGTTTCCCGCGCGGAGAAGGGTGGGGGTATGGAGAGGGCCCTGTCTTTAGGGCCCAAAGTGTGGGGTGAATATAATGCCCGAGAATTCGTATTTTTGGGAAATTTTGGAGGAGGTGGGGATTACCAAAACTGTTTTTCCAGAAGGGGTGAGGGAAGGGGGGTTGAGGGGGTTCGGACATTAAAAGAGAATGGAGCGAAACAGAATGACTTTAAGAGTGTAAACAGTCCCGTAGTGGAAAGAAAGGGGGGGTAGGGGTCGGCCTAGGGGAAAAGGGTTTGGGGGGAGGGGGTAAAAAAGGTTTTGGGGTTTCAGGGGTTGGACCTTCCCGGGGATGCATGAGCGTGTTTGATAGGGTGAATGGAGACAAAAAGGGTTTTTAAAACTTGACGTCTGTTGGAGTGTGAGCAAAGTAAAAAATTTTTGAAGGGGTTTTAGGGAAACCGCAGGCCCCGGGCTTGGTCCTGGAGTTGGGGAAATACAGTGCCCCGCACTCTGAAGGAGGGGTTTAAAGTTTTCAGGTTTTTTAAAAAAGTAGTGTAAAAACACCCTTTGGCAAGACAGTGATGGAGTGGAAAGATGGTGGGAAAATTTTTCTTTTTGGGGGGCCCCCCGCCTTGGTGGGAATCGGCCAGTGTGTTAATAATAATAATAAAAAACCATGGGTGGAGTTAGAACCCATGATCAGAGAGTCACAAAAGGGTTTTTATGAAGATAGGCTCATGTTAAGGTATGTATTGGAGAGGGAGCTTATTTTCAAGTAAAAATAGGCCTTAGACAGGGATGCGTGAGGTCACCATGGCTGTTTAACATACTTATAGATGGGGTTGTAAAAGAAGTGAATGCTAGGGTGTTGGGGAGGGGTGTGGGATTAAAATATGCAGAACCTTATACAAAATGAGAGTTGTTACAGTTGTTTTTTGATGATGACAGTGTGTGTTTGGCAGATTCTGAAGAGAAGTTGCAAAGGTTGGTTGACAAATTTGGAAGGGTATGTAAAAGAAAGAGATTAAGTATAAACATAGGAAAGAGCAGTGTGATGAGGGTAACAAAGAACTTGGGTAATGAAAGATTGGGTATCAGATTCTAAGGAGGGAGTATGAAGTGAATGTGTTCAGATATTTGAGATAGGACTTGCTGATGGATGGGCCAGTGAGAGATGAGATGAATCATAGAATTGATGAATGACCTAACGTACAATTTTAACTGATTATTTAATATATCATTTACTTTTATTGCTTGTAATAAAAAATGCCTTTTACCTTTTTAGAAATTTTGTCCTTAACATTGTTTTATTTATATCTTGCCCCTGTTTAGGTTGCAATAGAAAAAACTCACGCAGCTGTGGTTCAAATCCGGCAACGCTCTTCTGCATTACTAATGGCAAAGCACTATAGTCCGGAGCAGGTTATGGAGATAGAGTCTAATGTCACCAAGAGATGGGAGAAACTTGTGACTTGTGCTGAAGACAGGTAAGAACAATCTAAATAAAAAAATATTACTCATTTGTTAGTAAATGAGTTGTTAAGCATAGCATTTACTGTCATTCTATTTAAGGAACTTTAGCGTACTAATATTTGAAGAATTAGTTATGATTATGAACTAAGAGTATTATAGAATTTTCTGCTGCATGTAGGATACTTAGTGAAGTTTGCTCCCTATAGCGTTACTTAAAAAGCAGATTCGATTGTTGCATAATCCTAATGCTCGTGCCAATTTACAAGAATTAGGTTTAGACATTGTTTCTGCTTAGGCTTTCTCCAGATAGTTGAGGCTTGATGCTAGTTCATTTTCTCTTTCCTATTTATAATTACTGTACCTATTTAGGTTTGCAGGAGATGAGACATATCTCTTGGTCCTCTTAATTTTGCATTAACAGAAATGAATTAACTCCATTGTATTTTTATAATATAAATTGTTTGTATTTAGTGGTTATCTCCTCTCTGATCCCAATACATTTGTAACCACGCCACAATATTTGTAAATGATATTTTACGTGCATTCTCTGATATTCAGATAATGGTGAGAGTTTGTCTTACTTAGTATCATCTTTGAATTATCATAGTAACATAGTTTGTTGTCCACATCATATTGCATAAATTTAGTATAAGCACAAACTATGAATTTTCTGATTATGAGAAGTTCTTTTTCTTATTCTCTCTTCTTGTCATGTAATCATAATTCGCTACTGTCTCTTCTTGTCTTGTAATCATAATTCACTACTGTCTCTTCTTGTCATGTAATCATAATTTGCTACTGTCTCTACTTGTCTTGTAATCATAATTCACTTTCCTTTGGCATTCTTCATTATACAGTAGGCTTCATATTATGTCTGTGATAAAATTAAGAAATGATAAAAAGCACAACCAAGTCAAAACTGTTCAGTGATTGTCATGTTTGTCATGACATTTTACAGGGAGTACTTTACATGTAGTCATTGAAACAGCTGAGATACTGACACAGTAAATTTCTCTTCATGTTACTGAGTTCACATATTGCACTCAGTAATTTTAATCTTTTTATTGCACTTTCTGGGTGTAATGCATTCTCACTCCATGAAATGACAAACAGGGTAATGATGATGAAATGGCATTTTTACTTCAGGCTCATAGTTTTTAGTATTTTTCAGACTATGCCTCCCTCTAGGCCTCAAAATAAACTCATTTATTAAGTTACCCAGTGTGTTAATGACCATTTTTAGTAAAAAACATTTAATCTTGTAAGTAATTGTTTATCTTGTGCCAAATAAATTTCAGGTACAAATTAGTCCAAGCATCAATTACATTCTTCAAAACAGCAGAACAAGTGTGTTCTGTGTTGGAAAGCCTGGAACGTGACTATAAGCGAGAAGAAGATTGGTGTCAAAAGGATGTTGCAGCCCCAGGTGCTACATCCACTCAAGGGGAACAGCAGCCATCACAACAACCACCACAGAAACAAGAACAACAGCAACAAGGAAGTCAAGTAGGGTCAGATCGAGCAGCTTCAATTTCTCTTTTGATCAATAAACACCAAGAACAAAAAGAAGGATTTTTGAAAGCCTGTACTCTTGCCAGACGTACTGCCGAGACGTTTTTGAAATATTCTAATCGATCTCAGAACTATTATAATTTGAAAGGTGATGTAGGGCTTAGAGGACCAGAAACCAAAGTTAGGGGTATTTTAGACAATCTCATGGCACAAGAAAATAAAGTGCTTGACCACTGGACACAGAAGAAGAAAAAACTTGACCAGTGTCAGCAGTTTGTTCTTTTTGAGGGATCTGCCAAGCAAGCTTTAGATTGGATTATGGAAACTGGTGAAATGTACCTTTCCACGCATACTAATCTGGGTGATACCAAAGAGGAAACTGAAAAACTATTGAAAGAGCATAATGAATTCAAAGGTACAGCTAAAGACACTAGAGAACGAGTGAAATTATTATTGCTTTTGGCAGATTCCTTAGTTGAGAAAGGCCATGCTCATGCTGCTGCTATCAAAGATTGGGTAGCAAGAGTTGATTTGGCTTATAAAAACTTCTCAGGGCGCATGGATAGGTATCGTATGCAATTGGAAAGTCGTTTAGGCATTCAGAGTGAGGATAGCAAAGCTTCACTCTCTTTAGATCGCCATAGTGACCCATCTCTAGAAAATAAAGTTGGGGCAGTGGTGTCAGTAGCAGAAGTGGCCAACAAAGAAATTAGTGAGGAAAAACGTAAATCTGCTCGAAAGAAAGAACTAATCATGAGAGAGTTACTTCAGACTGAAAGAATTTATGTTAAAGATCTAGAAGTGTGTACAAGAACTTACCTTTATGAAACTCGACAGCCTTCTGCCCCATCTGGGCTGCAGGGGAAAGATAGTATTATATTTTGTAACATAGAGGACATTTTGCAATTCCATAAGGACATTTTTCTTAGAGAGATTGAAAAGTATCAGAGTATGCCCGAAGATGTTGGACATTGTTTCGTGACGTGGGCTACCGAGTTTGATGTTTATGTTACGTACTGTAAGGCTCAACCAGAGTCAAATCGTGTGCTAGTCAGTCATTCTGGTACCTTCTATGAAGAGGTTCAGCGCAAGCACAATGTGGAGCATCCCATCCCAGCCTACCTGATCAAGCCAGTGCAACGTATTACCAAATACCAGTTGTTATTAAAAGAACTTCTCTCATGTTGTGAGGATGAAAATCAGGGAGAAATTAAGGATGGCTTGGAGGTGATGCAAAATGTTCCCAAGAAAGCCAATGATGCTCTTCACTTGTCCATGCTTGATGGCTGTGATGTTCCTCCTGACTCTCTGGGAGAGGTTATTCTTCAAGATACTTTCCAGGTTAGAAAACTTACACTACTTTTTTATTTATTCTTATTAAAAAATTTAAGGCATTTAATTTGTGTGCTTTTCTGCCATAGTTTAAATCATTTAGGTTTCTAATATTTGGGCAATTCACTTACTAAGAATGGTTATAAATTTTTGTACGTATTTGAGTAGGCCTATGTATTTATCAGACAAGTGTTTCTTATAACCCCTTGTCCTGTATACAATACTAAAGTTAATTAAAAAGAGAAACTTTTTTGGGGGGGGCACCCTGCTTCAGTAGGATACAACTGGTTTGTTGAAAGAAGAAGTGTTTCTTTTCTCCATAGGGAAGTCGAACAGAATTATTCCACTGTAAGCCATGCATGTTGTAAGAGGAGAAGAAAATGCTGGGAGCAAGGGGCTAGTAACCTCTAATGTATAAATTGCTAAATTTAAAAAGAGAAACTTTCGTTTTTCTTTTTGGGCCACCCTGCACATGTAGCGGATCAGCAACTATGCTGACAACTGCACACCAATCTACACTTTAAAGGAAGGGATTGGGATATTGGCAGTTTGGAGGGATATCTAAACTGTTGTATCTAGCAACATACAGTAGTGCAAAATTTCAGGAAATTTTACATTTTTTTTTTTTTTTCAACAAGTCTTATTACTTTTCCTTTTATATCCATGGGGAAGTGGAATAAGAATCTTTCCTTCGTAAGCCATGCGTGTTGTAAAAGTCAACTAAAATGCTGGGAACAATGGGCTAGTAACCCCTTTTCCTGTAAAGATTACTAAAAAGAATAATAAGAAGAAATATTACATATTTTTTTATATTATTATTCTAGGTTTGGGATCCACGGCAACTAATCAGAAAGGGTCGTGACCGGCACATATTCTTGTTTGATCTGTATCTGGTGTTTTGTAAAGAAGTGCGGGATCCCAGTGGTAACAAGACCAAATATGCATATAAGAATCGTCTTGTTACTTCTGAACTTGGAGTCACTGAACACATTGAAGGTGATGAATGTAAATTTGCTGTATGGACTGCACGAACAGGAGTTAGTGATGGCAAGGTGAGTGACACTGTATATTTTGTAAGGTAAGTTTTGACTATAAGTAGGATGATGATCATTATCTCACTATGCATAAATGCAACAATATCAATATTTTGCACACTACTTTGTATAGCATATTTATATCGTAATCTAAGATTTACCATTTATATTTTTGCAGATGATTTTGCGAGCAAACACCCTAGAAGTGAAACAAACTTGGGTGAGAAAGCTCAGAGAAGTGCTCCAAGAGACATACTTGAGTTCTGCCTTACCTTTCTCACTAGCCAAATCCCCAGCTAAAACTCCCAAGCAGAACCGTGTCAGCAGGTAATTCATGTTATTACCCTTCATAGTGTGTACAAGTGTGTCACCTTGCCTCGGTGGGAGACGGCCGACTTGTTAAAAAAAAAAAAAAAAAAAAAGTGTGTACAAGATTCATTCCATGAAATATTTTCATTAGGAAAATTTCTAATATATTCCAAAAATAGAGTAAGAGTGGTACAGATTACAGTTTAATGCATTTAGTAATGGCTAAGATATTTAGGTCTATAACTGTCCATGGTATATGTCAGAGGAATGTCAGGAATCACACAGAATCTAGAAGAATTATGACTAATATAGAATAAGATGGAGGTTGGAGGCATTGGAAATGTCTGAGTTCAGTATGTGGTTTGAATATAACGATTGCTTAGTTATCTAACACAAAACAGTGGAGAGTTGTATGAATAATTAAATATTTGAATAAACATTTTGATACTTTAATTAAAAATTTTTATTATTAGCTAGTTAAATAGCTAATATTGTACATTTTAAGGAATAAATTATCAGATAACTCAGACTAAGAAGTGAACTTTTTTTTTTTACTGACCATCTCCCGTTGAGGTAGGGTGACCTAAAACAGAAACACTTTCACCATAAGTCACTGTATCACTGTCTTGCCAGAGGCATGCCAATGCTACAGTTCATATTTCCCACCTAACTGTAAGTATCCCTACCCCTCCATTCTTATTTTTAGTAATTTATACAGAGAAGGGGTTACTAGCCCCTTGCTCCCAGCATCTTAGTTAGCTTTTACAACACCCATCGTTTATGGAGGAAGGATTCTATTCCACTTTCCTATGGAGATGAAAGGAAATAAATAAGAACAAGAAACTATTAAGAAAATAGAAGACATCTCAGATGGGTGTGTATATATATACATGTATATGAACTGAATATTACCCAAAAATATACATGCACAATTGCAATGTTTGACTTTATTGAGTTATCAAACATTAAATTGACATAATGTACTTTTTAAGTGTCCATAATATCTATAGAAAGAAGAAAAATATCTGTACAGCCTCTCCTCACTTAACGACAGAGTTCCGTTCCTAAGACCATGTCATTAAATAAATAACAAAAAGGCACAATACCGTGACTGGAACGATACACAAATAACCCGCACATGTACCATGTCATTAAACGAATTCATTGCTAAGTAAAGAGCATACTATAATGGTAGTGGGTTTGTGTCAGCCATCTTTGATATTGTTTTAATGTCACCTTTGCACCATTTATAACATTTCTGGTATATTTTTAAATGTTTATACAGTAGTGTACTCTATTTTGAATAAACAGAATAGAGAAAATCACCTCTAATATACTTGTACAGTGGACCCCCAGTATTCGATATTAATCCGTTCCTGAGAGCTCATCGTATACCAAAATTATTGAAAGGTGAATTAATTTTTCCCGTAAGAAATAATGGAAATCAAATTAATCCGTGCAAGACACCCAAAAGTATGAAAAAAAAAATTTTTACCACATGAAATATTAAGTTTAATGCACACAAACTGAAGAAGACATGCACAGTTTGTAGTACTCTACTAACAATAGAATACATGACACTTACCTTTAATGAAGATCTGGTGATGATTGATGGGATGGGAGGAGGGGAGAGTGTCGAACTTATTGTTTAGAAGGGGAATCCCCTTCCATTAGGACTTGAGGTAGCAAGTCCTTTTCCGGGTTACTTCCCTTCTTCTTTTAATGCCATTAGGACAAGCTTGAGAGTCACTGGACCTCTGTCGCACAACAAATCTGTCCATAGAGCTCTGTACCTCCCGTTCCTTTACGATTTGTCTAAAATGGGCCACAACATTGTCATTGTAATAGTCACCAGCACGGCTTGCAATAGCTGTGTTAGGGTGATTTTCATCCATAAAGGTTTGCAGTTTAACCCACTGTGCACACATTTCCTTAATATTTGAAGTAGGCACAATGGATTCCACAACTGGCATAGGCTTCTCAGGGTTAGCCACAAACCCTTCAAAATCTTTCTTAATTTCCATACTAATTCTCACCCTTTTTACCACAGGGTTGGCACTAGAAGCTTTCTTGGGGCCCATGGTGACTTATTTTGCAGAAACAAGCACCAAAAACACTGTGATAATGTGGAATGTACCGAATGTATCCTTAGATGCGAGCACACTGGCTGGCTTGTAAACACTGGCACGCACAGGGCAGTTCAGGCCACACGTGGACACATCTCAGAAGAATTGCGTGTGGCGGGTTTTTTAATGAGTGGCGAGGCAAAATTTTTGCGTTAAAATGTATCGAATACCGGATTTAACGGATACCAATGCCATCGAATACCGGGGGACCACTGTACATTATTTAGGTAGGAATACTGGTCAGAGACACATCTCTCGATTTACACGGAATAGCACATCATTTGTCAACAAACTGGCCATATCCCACCGAGGCAGGGTGACCCATGAAGAAAAATAAAAGTTTGCTTTTTTAAATTTAGTATTTTATACAGAAGGGGTTACTAGCCCCCTTATTTCCGGCATTTTAGTTGCCTCTTACGACACGCATGGCTTACGGAGGAAGAATTCTATTCCACTTCCCCATGGAGATAAGAGGAAATAAAGAAGAACAAGGACTAGTAAGAAAAATAGAAGAAAACCCAGAGGAGTGTGTATATATATCCTTGTACATTCATGTGTAGTGTGACCTAAGTGTAAATAGAGGTAGTAAGACATACCTGAAATCTTGCATGTTTATGAGACAGAAAAAAGACACCCGCAATCCTGCCAGCATGTAAAACAAGTGCAGGCTTCCGTTTTACACTCACTTAGGAGGACAGTAGTACCTCCCTGGGCAGTTACTGTCTACCAACCTACTACCTAAAGCAGCCCTATTTTATACATATGTTATTCACTCTGTAAGTTGCTATTTCATAAGTAATGCTAATTTCAGGAACCTAACCCACGCATTTTATGAGGCCACTGTATTTTAGAATGGTCATGTACCACATTTTATTTAAGAAAATTAATAGAATTATCCTCAGAAATATAAAAACCATTAACTTGTATTAAAGTGTTAATAATTGTAATAATCGCTGAACACATGCACTTAAATTTCAGTCATACACTGAATTAATTTTGGAATATGAATTGTTGGAATATTAGCAGTTTACATTTTTCTGTGTGCAGAGACATGGAAGAGTCAATAGACGAGAGTGCAGAGAATACTGATCGTAACTCTCTCGCCTCTTATTCCTCATCCAATACAGACTCCGATAAGGTAAGTGCAGGGTTCTTGTTCCCTCTCTTATTGCAAAGTAACTTTATATTTTTTACTATGTATGGGTAAATATAGAGGTACCATATCATACCTCTAGTTCTTCAACCAGTAAGGTAAGTGTAAAGTTCTTGTTCATTCTCTTATTACCAAGTAACTTGTGATGATTTTTTATTATATGTGGTTGTGTAAAGGAAGAAAGTTGAAAGTGAACATAGATAAGAGTAAGGTGATGTGGGTATCTAATGAGTTTGGTAAAGAAAATTGAAAATCAGATTGTAGGGAGGGAGTATGGAAGAAGTGAATGTGTTCAGATATTTGGGAGTAGACTTGTTGGCAGATGGGTTTATAAAGCATGAGAAAAATCATAGAATTGATGAAAGAAAAAAGGTGGGTGGTGCATTGAGATATCTGTGGAGACAAAGAATATTATCCATGGAGGCAAAGAAGGAAAGGTATGAGAGTATAGCGGTACCATCACACTTACATGTTTGTGAAGCATGGGTTGTAAATGTTGCAGTGAAAAGGAGGCTGGAGAAAGTGGAGATGTTGTATCTAAGTGCAGTGTGTGATGTAAATATTGTGCAGAGAATTCAAAGTGTGAAAATTAGGAGGAGGTGTGGAGTTACTAAAATTATTATTCAGAGGGCTGATGAGGGGTTGTTGAGGTGGTTTGGTCATTTAGAGAGAATGGAGCACCATAAGATGACTTGGAGGGTGTATAAATCTGTAGTGGAGGGAAGGAGGGGTAAGGGTCATCCTAGGAATGGATGGAGGAAGGGGGTAAGAGAGATTTTTTGTACCAGGGGCTTGGACATACAGCAGGCATGTGTGAGCATGCTAGATAAAGAGCGAGTGGAGACGAACGGTTTTTGGGACTTGACGAGCTGTTGGAGTGTGAGCAGGGTAATATTTTGTGAAGGGATTCAGGGAAACCGGTTTGCTGGACTTGAGTCCTGGAGGTGGGAAGTACAATGCCTGCCCTTTAAAGGAGGGGTTTGGGATATTTTCTGTTTAGTGACATATAAAATGTCGTATCTGGACGCCTCTGTAAAGAGAGTGATGATGTGAATGATGGTGAAAGTTTTTTTTTTTTTTTTTGGGGGGGGGGTCACCCTGTCCAGGTGGGAGACGGCCAGTGTGTTAAAAAAATAAAAATGTGCATATGAGGAGCCTTCTCATTGACTGTCTACCTGATTATATGCATTCCCCAAGTTTAGGACTTGCATAGCATTAAGTAACTGATAGTTTTGTTAATGAAAAGACAAAATGCAGTTGATCTCATCTTAACAAACATTCACATAACATGATTTTTGAATAACAACTGAAAAACTCTTGGTTCTGCCCTGCTTGATGATCATTTCCTGTTTCAGTTTATAACTTGGGAGTCCACATGGGATAATGCAATTTGCTGAGCATAGACTGCATTTGCTTTTTGGGTTTCTTCCAAAGCCTCCGTAATTTTGTTATAATGATTTAGTAGTTGTGACAAGCATGATCTTCTTGCTGTATGTTGATTTGGGTTGTATAGGTTATGTTTTTAATATAAAATTCGTAATTTGACATCTCACCACCATTTCAAGATTTTTATGATGTGTGTTGTTTGTGCTAGAGGTCTGTGGTTGTTTGCCAGAGCTCTACTGCCTCCTTTATGCAGAGGAACTATGTCTGCACTGTTTAAGGCCTGTGGGATTTCACCTAGATCCAGGCTCTTTCTTCAAAGAATAGTAATTGCTTGTGCTAATGATGTTTTACTCTATAGACCCCAATGAATCAGGCTCAGGTGCTGCATGTGTGAGCATGTTTTTTTTATTTCCATTTTAAATGCTGGGAGATTTGTATTTATGTGAGATATATAATTTGTAGGGTGGATGGAACTAATGAAAAAACTATCTGATGAGTTCATCTGTCATTTATTGGTTGCCTGAACATTGATTCATTCTGATCTGTCAAAATTTTAGAATTTTTTTTTTCATCATTGAAGCATGAACCTCCTGTGAGTAGTGGGGCAGTTCTTGAGGGTGGTTTTTATTTGGGTTTTGTGTAAGTGTAGAAATATTTAAGGATTTTTGCTGTTTTTTGAACAGCTTTTTGTTCTCTATGGGCTTCTTCCCTTTAAATGTTTTAGTGTCTGCTCATGTTAGTAATCTCTCTGTGTAGATTATCTCACCTGTGCTCATTTTTAAGCAGTTTTGTAGCCCTTTTTTTTCTGTGTTACATTTTTTTGTTTGCTGTTTCAGTATTTGAATTCCTTTTTAATAGTTCTGGGAGACATCATTCCTACAGTTGAGTTACAGACAAGGCCTCCTGGAACTGGAATAGTTTGTGAATGCTGACAGTGTGGAAGAAATAAGACACTTTAATGCTACGTGTAAGACTTTTATGTACAATACTGTCTTGCTGGGTTTACAAGCAAATCCCTTATTTGTATTAGACCCCCTGCTTGACAACTTGGTCACTCAAGCTGTTGGTGCATGTGCAGGCATTGTGAGTACTGTATTAATATGAGGAACAGGAAGTGGAAAGTGAACTGTTGCACCTAGTTGCTGTTGAAGAAATGCCTATCAGTTGCATAACATTGATAGTGCATTTGAAGATAGTATATTTTAGAACTGTGTTTAGACGCTTTTAACAGAGAATCAAACATATTTTACAATTTGCAGTACCTGCATGGAATCGACACATACAAAAGCTTCTGCTAACTACCACTACTTCTACTAATAACTATCTACCACCACTACTACTAATAATTACTTTTCACCACCACCAGTACTACTACTACTCTCTCCTTTTGTTCTACCAGTCCCATACCCCCCGTCTTCCTCTCGTATATATTCTGGCTCCCTTCCCTTCATGCTCTTCTGTGTGACTCTTTAATAGTCTAAGTTGTACTGAAACATCATAAGTTTCAGTCTCCAATGTGTGTGTTATTTGTGTATAGACAAGGATAGATTGTTTGTATTTAGAGGTACAGGAGTGGGAGGGCATTCGTAGAAGCTAAAGATACAGATGAATATCAGGAATGTTGAAAAATGCTTGGTATAAACCTTGGTAATTGATAGATCAAGGTCCCAGGACTGAAACATTTTCTAATAAATATGTCCTAGTGTTTACTCATGTGTCTTTGGAAAATGCTTCGTGAGTATAAGGATGGTTACCAGAGGGGATGAGGTTTTTGTGGAAGCCAACTTCATATACAGTTTTAAGAGTAAATACGATGTGGCTTATAAAGCCAGGAACTAGTAAATGTGGCCACAATCTGAGAGAATTGTCACTGGTAAGCACTGTCAAGCAAATGTTTAATCTTTTCATGATTAAAAAAAGGAGCCAAAAGTCATTAGTGAACCAGTGCTCATGCACCAGTTGGCTAGAAAAGTCAGGTTGGCCTCAAGTCATTAATTCAAAATGTTCGGTTACATGACTGCAACAGCCCAGCCTGTCCTCACACTGTATGTATAGTGTTTGGTTTTCTTGCTGCCAGATGTGTCCCTTCAGTTTTTAATTTGCTTATTGCTGGTCATCTTGCCTCTTATCAAGGTTTATTGAACCCAGCAGGTTTGGTTCCCTGTCTTCCATCATAGTGCATTCCAGTTAGATCTGGTACTAGTCTAGTTGCAGACCTTTGGACTTTTTGAGTTTCTACATGTGCCTGATCAGGTATGGGATCCATGTTGGAGTCATACTTAGTGGTTGTCCTAATATGGATCATATAAAGAGTTCTGAAGAATCCTGTGTTTAATTTCCTGAATGCTCTTCTAAGGTTTCCTAATCTTTCATATGCCACTGACATAACATGGTTTGTGTGTGATCCTGGTGATGTGCTTGGTATTATGTTCACCCCAGGCTCATTTCACTCTCTGATATTTGCTGTTTATCTCTGCCCGTGCTCATCTCTTTGTCTGGTCTGCCCTTATCTTCTCAAAATTGCATGACTCTGTATTCAGTTGGATTGAACTTGAGTCATTTGTTTGACCACCTGTGCAGCGTGTTTAGGTATCCCTGGGTTGTATCACAATCCTCTCCTGTTCTTAATTTTTTCCGTTAGTTTATATTGTCAGCAAACAGTTACTCATAGGACTCAGTGACCTCTGGTAGGTCATTCACGTATTAGGAACAGTAGCGATCCTAACAGTGATCCTTGTGGAACCCCACTTATTACTCTCCCATTCTGATGTCTCATACCTTACTGTTGCTGTCTGACTTTTGCTATTTAAGTAGCCCTTGATGCACGGGAAAACTCTGATCTCTGAGTTAATCACTGATGTGATACTATATCAAATACTTTCCTGCAGTCCGAGAAGATGCAATCTACCAAGTTCTCCATTTCTTGTTTTTTATCTCTGTAAATCCCTCTTAGATTTCCAGCAGATAGGATTTTCCATCCCTAAATCCTTGTTAGTTTTCTGTAAAGAATTTTCTCTCCAAGTGTCCCAGTATTCCTTTCGTTACTCTCTTCTGCAGAACTTTCAACAGTGTGAATTAGTTAGCTACTAGGTGTCAAAAGCTCTTGTTAAATAGACACTTGGCCTGTTTTGTGTCAAAGGTATGTGCAATGGAAGACTGTGTTAGTTACCAGTTGTCAGAGGCATTTGTCGATAGACACTTAAGCTGATTGTGTGTGTGTGTGTGTGAGGGAGGGAAGGGGCATGGAGGGAGGGAGGGGGCATGGATGGAGGGGGGTGCTTTATATGTACGTAACCCACAAATTGGAGATGAAATACATGACGACGTTTAGGTCCGTCTCTGTAGGTGCTCAGGTAGGACGGAAACAGTCATATTTACCTGTGACATACCCGTGCCTGGCTCTGTGGGCTGTTCCCTCGTAGCCGTGTTGAACGCGTGGTTCACCAGGCTATTGGTAGCGGCTCGCAGTCAAAGCCCCATTAATCAGGCACTTGCAATGTGTGGGTTAATTGTGCAACATTAATGATATATTATTTATTATAGTAATAATGGTGGTGTACAGTTATACGGATTGACTGTGGGAGCGTTCAGTAGCAAGT